AAACAGTGTTTGGAAGAGGCCCTACCATGCAGCAAATATTGTGCTTACTGTCCTGCATTTTTCAAGACATTAGGTGGACTGTCTGCTTGGTTCTGGCTAATAGGTTAAGGTGTTCATGTGTTCTTTCAGGCTGAAGTATAGAAGTCTCTTGTTGAAAAGATGGAGCCATGAAATCAAAGCAGCCTGCACTATGTTGAAAACAACTGCTCTTGATAGCTCCTCAGACTCATAGTGGACTTCACATGAGCAGGAAATAAACTTTTGTTGTGCTAAGTCACAGAGTTAGTTGAGGTCGTTTTCACTTCAGCCATGTCTAGTCTATGCCTAAACAATGTATCCACGACCTATAATTGGCCCCAAAGGTTATGGAACCCCCAGCATAGTACACTAAATATTGTGTATATGTGATTGTGTGCGTTTTTCTAGAGAAGAGAATACATAGATTTCAGTATATTTCATTGTGACTATGATCTAAAAATTATCAAGAACCACTGACTTACGAGAGAAACTCTAAATATCTTCCTGTGGATAGCATTTATTTAACTGTACTTCTTTGTAATATCCTTTCTTGTTTCTCCTAAACTCTCATTTCCATGTCGAGGAAAAAAAAAATGAGCTTAGAATTCAAACAATTTGGGTTCAAAGTATGGCAAAGATTTTTTGCAGGCTGTATAGCTTCTTCTTCTCCTCCTCCTCCTCCTCCTCCTCCTCCTCCTTCTTCTTCTTCTTTTGTTGAGACAAGATCTTACTTTGTTTCTAGATGCGATCACTGCTCACTGCAGCCTCGAACTCCTGGGTTCAAGTGATCCTCCCACCTAAGCCTCCTGAGTGGCTGGGACTACAGGCATTCACCACCATGCCTGGCTAACTTTTTCATTTTTAGTACAGACAAAGTCTCACTGTGTTGCCCAGGCTGGTATCAGACTCCTGAACTCAAGTGATCCTCCCACCTCTGCTTCCCAAAGTGCTGGGTTTACGGGCGTGAGCAACCGCACCTGGCCTACTAGCTGTGTAATTTCATGCAGGTTAATTTGTTTCTCTCTGAGTCCCAATTTCCTCATTTATAAAATGGCCAGAATATAAGATTAATATGGGTTTTGTACCTCTGTTTTTAAACATCAATTGCTAAATAAATATTATTTAACTTTTACCATAGTTCATGTATATTTACTTCATTGTTTATGTTTACGCATTGTCTCCCCATCCTGATTTTTAAGTCCTGGAGGGCTAGAATTGCCTTATGGCTCATTTTTATTTTCTCTAGAGTAGTGCTGTGCAACAGAAATATAATTTAAGCTACATGCATAATTTTACATTTTTCTAGTAGCCACATTTTTAAAAGTAAAAAGAGAAAAGAGAAATTAATCTAAATAATACATTTTATTTAACCCAATACATCTTCAAATTGATAATTTCAACATGTAATCAATATTTTAAAAAGAGACATCTTACATTCTTTTGTTTGTCTTTGAAATCTGATATGTAAATTCTACCTATAGAATATCTCAGCTCAGACTAGCCACATTTCAAGTCCTTAATAACCACATGTTTCTCATGGCTACCATATTGGACAGTGCAGATATAGGGCTTAAAATAGTATCTTGATTGATGGATTGATTGATTGTGACTCTCCTACCCAGATGGTGTGCTTTAGGCAGACTGATCTTATTGGCTATCCTTTTTTGTATGCTTAATTGCATTTGATGTGCCGCTAAATTTATACCTTTCTTGAAAATTTTATTCTGCCTAGAAATTCCTTTTCTATGTGTTTTTTTTTTTTTTTTTCTTTTCTATTTAAACCAATCCTCCACTGCTTAGCTGGTATTGTATTCTGGGTTCTCCATGGAACTGTCTGAGATTTTTCAGCCCACAGCATCCAGTCCTTCCTTCAAAGTCACATAATTTATCCCATTTTACGTACTGTATAATTTATCTTATACATCATAATTGACAAAAAAACATGTTATGAGTGCTTACTCATTATTATACCATGGGTTGGAAAATCACCTATACCTTTTAGAAACATAAATTGAATGAAGTATATTGTGTGTAAAAGACCAATACAAAAATTAAGAATATATTTGGCGAGAACCAAATCAATGATAGAGATGGTGTTCCTTAAATGTTTTCCTTGGACAACAGCTCTGTTATTCAGTTCCTCACATCAGAAGAGTCCCCATGGTTTAATAAATTTTTAGAATGCATATCTAAACAAAACTGGACAGGTTTTTGCTCAAACAGGGCTTCTCCGAGTCTTTAATATGCCAATGTATAGTGTTGTTCTCCAAGAGCAGAAAACAGTATGCAACAGTTCCAAAACATTGTTGAATCAGATATCTTTTTCCTGTTGAATCAGATATATTTTATGTGATGACTGTTTTGTAAAACCTCATTTGAGAAATGTTTCTTCGAAAACAATGAAAATTCTAGGAGTTGAAACTTGAGCAGAGTGGGGAGAATGTCTCCAAACCACAATGGAGGATGCCCAGGAGAAGTAGAGGTGCAGGGTTCAGATGCCAACCTTGGGAGGATTTAAAAGGGTGACTACTTCTTGGTGGTTGTTTAGGTTTTTTTTTTTTTTATTCCTTCCTTCCTTCCTTCCTTCCTTCCTTCCTTCCTTCCTTCCTTCCTTCCTCCCTCCCTCCCTCCCTTCCTTCCTTCTTTATTTTTCTTTTTTTTTTTATGAAGTTTCGTTCTGTCACCCAGGCTGGAGTGCAGTGGTGTAATCTCGACTCACTGCAATGTCCACCTCCTGGTTCAAGAGATTCTCATGTCTCAGTCTCCCGAGTAGCTGGGACTACAGGTGCGCACCACCACGCCCAGCTAATTTTTGTATTTTTAGTAGAGATGGAGTTTCATCATGTTGGCCAGGCTGTTCTCAATCTTTTGACCTTGTGATCCGTCCGCCTTGGCCTCCCATAGTGTTGGGATTACAGGTGTGAGCCACCATGCTCAGCCTAGTTGTTTTATTTTCATATTCCCTGAACACTTTGCACTTTCTCAGTTTCTTTGCTCATGCCTGAAAATCCCTTCCCATCTTTTCCCTCCTATAGAAATCCTTCTGAAAAGGTAGGGCCCTACTTAAATTTCACTTCTTTAATACATCTCCTTCATTTTCCATCCAGGTCTGAATTCTCCTTTCTCCTGTGTTCTTTAAACACATCCTTTTATAGCTTAAACTTCTATGCATTCCAAGTCATAATCACTGGTATTTTGGGTTTTGCCACAAAATATTCTAAGTTCCTGGTTTTCTATTCCTAATCACACTGAACCAAGAATCTAGTACACACTAAGTCTTTAAAGATATTTTTGGAATGAATAAATGAATGACTGGAAGGATAAGTGCGTTGTTGTCTTCACATAGACAGGCTAGAAAGTTTATCAAGCAGGAATTTTGAACTCTATATTTTTTGAATAAACTTTTAATTTCAGAATAGTTGTAGACTTACTGAAAAATTGCAAAGATAGTAAAGAGAATTCCTATATACTCTGCAAGTAGTTTCTCTTATTATTAACATCTTAGACTAGTATAGTACATTTGTGATAACTAATGATCCAATATTGTTATCAATATAGCAATAAAATTTCCATTCATTATTCAGATTTCCTCACTTTCCCTAATGTCCTTTTTCTTTCTAGCTTTCCATTTAGGATGCCATACTACATTTAGTTGTCATGTCTTCTTAGTTTCCTCTAGATCATGACAGTTTCTCATACTTTATTTTTGATGACTTTGACAGTTTTGAGGAATACTGATCAAATATTATGCAGAATATTCCTCAATAAAGTTTTGTCTGACGTTTTTCTCATGACTACATGGGGGTTATGGATTTGGAGAAGAAAGGTCATAGAGGTAAAAGCCATTCTCATTACATAATGTCAAGAACACACCATAGCCACATGCCTTACTACTACTGATATTGAGCCTTAATTACCTGGTTGAGTTAGTGTTTGCTGTTTTTAAAATTTTCAGTGACCAACATTGCTTCTTGCCAGAGGCACAGAAGTGGGATGTTATGCCTGTGTCTAAGGCATCTAGCACTGATTTCAGTACAATATAGGCATAGGTCTCATGTTTGGTAAATGGAAAAGAAATGGATGAATACCTGAATGCTTCTCATTGATGTCTACTCCACATGGCTTCTGAAACTTGCAAATTCCTTGCTGTATTTAAGTTTTACTATAGGAAAAAAAAGAAAAGAAAAGAAAAGAAAGCTAGAGACTGCACTTAAAAGATATCCTCTCTAAAGGAACAAGTAATATTCAATGTGTATGAACTGAATAATGTAACATAGAGTTCTATTCATACCAACTCTCTAAACAGTTTTGTGAAATAGCAAGAACAGCAACCAAATAATCATCCTAACATCATTCTGGGAAGTACAGTGGCTTCTGCTTCCTACTTTGGGAAGGAAATAATTACAAGAATGGCAGTAACTGGTTTGATAATTACAACAGCCTGGTCAAGATGATGCCTACATTTGCAAATCGCCCCACACACCCTGAGATCTCTCCCAAGATTGAATAGATTAAACTGATACCTAAAAGGGCTCCTGTGGTAAAATAACCAAAGCAAAAGAAACCAGGAACTCGATAAAGGCTATTTACAAATGAAATTTTTGGCAGGCTGAGAAAGAGTAGAAAGCTTTGTAAAGAAAAGAGGAAAGGGAATCAAAAAAAGAACAGAAATACTTTTAGTAAAAATACCAGAGGAGAGGGAAGAGTCAATGGATTAAAAGACAAAGAGTATCTGCAGGGAGTGGGATATGCTGAGCTCTTAAGCAGTTGACAAACAGGAACTTAACATTTATTAGTCAAGTAAATACTTTTGCAGAAGGGACAGGAAAGTGTACATCTTAACAAGACTGAAAAACATTGATTTATCTTGTTTCATTTGAAGAGCAATTCATTTGCTATTCATTCATAGTCTTACTTGATTTTTTAAAACTCAGTTCACTTGGTAATTTTAAAGGTATCTTGAGCTTCTTCTATCCAACTGCTTATACATGTTCAGAGAACAAATTAATGGTGGCTGAACTGTTCTTTAAAACCTGACCAGTCACAATAACTTTTATTGCTTTCCTAAACCATGGGTAAAATAAAGCATAAATCAAAGGATTCACGGCTGAGTTATAATAAGCACACCAACAGCAAATCTCATAAATATAGGGAGGGGTTATAAAGCCCATAAAGGCATCAATTAATGAATCAATGCTATATGGTAACCATGAAACCATAAATGCTACCACTGTGACCCCCAGGGTTTTAGCTGCTTTTCTCTCTCTCCTGGCCACTCTGGCTTTGTAACTCTCTGAGGATGATTCTGTCTTGCTACCAGTATTTTCTATCTTTTTAGCCTGTCGTCTAGCCACAAGAAATATGTTACCATACAGAATTATCATAACAAGGGTAGGTATAAAGAAGGATAGAAAATCTATTAACACCCAGTTTTGATTTACAATGGTCTGACAACCTCCTATACAGTTCAGGGCATCAGATAATTCTTCCAGCCCATCATCGTAGACACCTGTGTAGAACACAGCACCACTGTACACAAGGGGCAGGATCCAGGACATGCTGATGCAAATTCCTGACACAGATATGGTGAACTTGGTAGGATAGACCAGAGGGTCAGTAACTGCAATGTACCTGTCGATGGAGATGAAGCACAAGTGAAAGAGAGAAGAGTAACAAAATGCCACATCACAGCAGGTGTGGAAAGTACAAAAACTTCTCCCAAAATACCAGCAGCTCTCCACGGTCCTGACCATGCTGAAGGGCATCACAGTCACACCCACCAAGAAATCAGCACAGGCCAGAGAGGCAATGAGAAAATTGGTCGGAGAGTGCAGCTGCTTGAAATGGAGGATTGAAATCATAACCAGGAGGTTTCCAAACACAGCCAGCACAGCCCCAAAGCCAAACACTATGTACAGAATCACCCAGGATCCAGGCGAGTAGGGGATTTTCACACAGGACCCATTCACATTCGCGTAGCACAACTGCACAGCTGCCAGCAGGGATGAGTTGCTGCTCATAACGCTGTTATTTACACGTAGAGAAGTTTTGTCCTTGTTGATTGTCACAAAAAATACAGGATTGTTTCTGATTTTCAGTGCTCCTCGGGAAAAAAAACACATATTCACCAGGATGTCAGAGGAAATTATAAGATATTATCTCCAATATAATTTTTCAAGTTTCCATTTGTATTATAAATCCCAAATTTTTTTATGACAAAATAAAATTTGACAAAAATTATATTGAACAATATTACTGGAGATTGTTTCAGCTGACAAATGTCTCATGCTCTTAATTTGATAAAATTCCCTTTTGGTCATAAATATCCTTTTGTATTTTATTTTTACCTTTTGAGTTTCTCTGTGCAACAGTCGCCGATATGGGATGTAATCACGGAGCTGAAAGATCACCTCCCGTTACCTTTATCTCGGTTATCTGTCTTGCATTACAGCCTTAAACATGAAGTCCTTTTAGCTAAATAAATGCCTTCAATGGGAAAATCCCTCAATGGAATCCCTGTGGTGCGAGGTGTGAACTAGTAGGATTATTTTCAACAGTGACTACTAGGAAAGTTATTCTACAAAACAGGTCTCTACTGTGTATTAAATTCTATTACCATTATAATTTTAGGCCAAAGATTTATTTTTCCTTAGTGCATAGACTTAAACCATTCCCTTGTTCCCAATCACAACTTAGACACCCGGGTTTTTGTTACAAAGATACAATAGGGTGTAAACAGTAAGCATCAATACTTGCCTCTTTCTCTCCTGTTAAGAATCACTTTTCCATCTGCACAGGTTACCAACAAGCAGAAATTATTATAATGTATAGCGAGGGGAACTTGAGATTGATAAAATATATTGCATGAAAGCATTAAAGAACGACATGGCGTTTAGACACACCAGCATTTCTGAGATGCTGGTGGAAAGAACAGTCCTCCTTTCAAGACAGCTACTGGGAACACATCTGCAACATGTCTGCATCCACATGATAAATGGGCAGTGAGCCCTCCCTCTGGCTACACATTTGTTTGCAATTCCTGGTGACTGGACTTCGTGCTCCCAATCCTGAAAGCAGTCAAAAAATAAGAATGATGAACAGGAAACTGGAAAATGGGAAGAGAATCGTCAGTAACGTTCCCAACCCTGGAATGTAAAAACACTGCAGAGCAAAGAAAAATATTATTCTCTTCTGGAAGAAGGGTTCAACTCTCTTTCCAGTACAGGGCTGTGACTTTAGAGACATTTGTGAACTTGCTTTTCATGTTATAAAGAGTGATAAGTATTATGATTAATTCATCTTGCTATCTGATTCCTAGTCAATAAAATTAACACTCTTAACCAAGTAATTTTCAGATTCTTCTTAATATTTTCTGAGTGTCTGATTTTGTGAAATGATGTCAATTGCTTATATAGACAAAACCCTGTTCAGGGCTTTCTTAACTTGAGCACAATAGACATTTGAATTCAGGTAACTCTTTGATATGAGAGGTTATTCTGTTCATCACATGGCTTTTAGCAGCATCCCTGCTACGAGGTGTCAGTAAAATCCTTCTAATTGAGATACCAACCATGTCTCCAGATATTGCCAAATTCCTCAAGGGACAAAATCAACCCCCTTCCTCCATTAAGACCATTGTGGTAGGCAATAAAAAGTGTCAAGTGATGCCTCCATTTCAAATAGAGAAATAACTTTATACCCCTTCATCATTCTGATACTTATTAATTCATCTGTTCAACACGTATTTATTGAATTTCAGTAGCTGTGTATTAAGATAATGAACAAAACTGTTATGACCACAATACTCATGAAGTTTATAATCTTGAGAGGGAAACAAAACTTAAGGAAATAGAAAGACAGATTTATGATTTCAAATTGTGATAAGTACTACACAGGTGAAACACAATAGTGTCTACAGTAAGCACAATGTCAGGCAGATGAGACAAAAGGGTCCCTAAAAACATGAGAAAATAAAAATTCTACTTTAATATTAATAGAATTTTAGATATTCTTTTTTTAATTGTACCATCTAAACTTACTAGAGGATTCTGTTTTATACTTTTATGTTTTGGATTAGTGAATAAAGAGCCCTAGTCCAGTGCTGAGATGGGACGTCAATTTGAGGGTGTTTTCAAGGCCTCTACAATTATTGCACATATACAACTCTTTCACTCTCGCTCCTAAGGCAATCATCATAAATGGATTTGGATCAGATAAGATCGAGAGTAAGCAGAAGTCCTCTTTCCCAGAGTTTTATGATTCTAACACCCGGGGCAAAATTTAGAGGCAAACTTTTGGGTGTCGTGCATCAGCTAAAGCTTTCAGTCTCACTGCCACACTTGCTCTTTAGTTTGCAGGTTGTGAACTCCTTAAAGACATTTCTAAAATAAAAGTCCACTAAGTAAACCATCTCCCCAGTGACCCAGAGTGTGAAACATTCTTCATTATGACCAAGGTGGGAGGAAGATGTGATAATGAGGCCCTGTTGTTGCAGTACCCAAACTCAGAAGTTTGTTAATAAGAGGAAGGGGAGACAAATGTTTTGTACTCTTGTCTCTTTGGATTAGAGGCTAAAAGCAACCAAACACAAAGCAGGGTCAATGTGTTCAACTGTAAATGAAGAGCGGCGGGCATTGATTATATGCAATCAATTTATCTAAGTTATGGTCTAAGCAATTCTTCAAGTTAGTGCATAGCTGAGTCAGTGCTCAGCTTGATTCAATCCATAATCCATTTGTGTTTGGCAAGTATTTCTTAGAAATATAGATTAACAGCTTATGGAATACTTTGAGTAGGATGAGAAACAGTATGAAAGTAATTTTTCTTCAATCACAGCCTCCAAATGAGCTCTAGCAAATCTTCCTTTTTTATCCCTTAGTTTTGTATCTCGAAGAGAACTCGTACTTGTTCAGTCATTTTTCTTCATTTTTTCATGTATTTGTTATGTCAATTTTTGCAAGTTTAATTAAAGAATTCTAGATAAGTGTTTTGTCAAAACAAATTTGTAAAACACTGACACTTAGATCCACTGAAAAATGAATCATGCACTGGAATCCTTGATTCGAAGGATTCTATTGTTTTTGTTTTTGAATTAATGTATTTATTTTCAAAACTAAGTTTATTGTGATACATTAATGTAATATTATACTAAAACAATCATAAATCTCTAGGACATTTTAACTATACAATTTTAAATTCATGAATGCCTTATTATCCATTATAATTCTAACAAAACTTATCTTTCTTATGAATATGAATTATCTCTAGCTACAATCCTAAAAACTACATTACTTTGTATTTTGTAATATTAAAATAAATTTTATGCATTTTTGTTTAGTTAAATATTTTTTGGTTTACAAATTACACGATACAGTCTCTGAAACTTTGTATACAAAAGTAATTGTCGACTGCTGTGGATCAAAGTATAAGAATCAGTTTTATTCATTTATCAAACTCAAAGTGACAATTATGCCAATTATGTTACAATTATGGTAAGCAGACTAATTAGGATTTTGTAGAAACTACAATGTCAAGTTTTATCTGTGTAAGATGATGCTATTAGACACATCAATTGCCCTTTGCAGCCAATCTTACCCCCACTTCCTTTCTCCTGCCATAGGCAAGCACTGATTTCCTTTCTATTGCTATAGATTATTTTTACCTGTTCTAAAAATCACATGTGAAGAGAACCACACAGCATGTACTCCTCTGTGACCAGCTTCTTTCACTCAGTTCAGTATCTGGGCGATTTATTCATGTTATAGGGTATATTCATTGTTCCTTTCTTATTATTGCTAAGTATATTATGCATTGCATGAATATAACACACCTGATTGATTAATATACCCTGTTGATAGACGTTTGGACAGTGTTCCTGTTGGGGCTGCTATGAATAGTATTGCTGCCAATATTTGTATACAATTATTTGCATAAACACATGCTTTTATATTTTTGAGTAAACATCCAGATGCAGAATTGGTGGATTTTATAGGAAACTTACATTTAACTGTGTAAGAAGCTAAAAACTGTCTTCTAAAGTAACTGCACCACTTTATGCTCCCACCAACAATCTGAACGTTCCCATCGCTCTAAGCCCTCTTCAACACTTGGTATTGCCATTTCTTTTTATTTTATCCATTCTACAGGGTGTAGCAGTATCTCACATTTTTAAGTTGGTGAATAATGATGTTGAGCATCTTTTCATGTTATTATTAGCTGCTAATGTATTCGTTTTAGTGAACCAGCTGTAAAAACATTTGCTCATTTTTCACTGAATTTTATTTTTTATTATTGACCTGACTGGATATATCTTACTTCCAAATATATGCTGTAAATATCTACTTTTCACTCCCTTGACAGTGTTTTTGAAAAGTAGAAGGTCTTAATTTTCAAAAATTTTAACTAATTTGTATGGTTATTGACTTTGTTTATTTTCTAAGAAATCTTTGCCTAACACGATTATCACAACTTTTTCTTCTATGCTCCCTCTAGAAATTTTACAATTTTAGTTCTTATGTTTAGGTATAGTTTCATATTAATTTTGAATATGTTGTGAAGAAGGGTTTGAGTTTAGTAGTAGCCATAATAGCCAGTATATGGATATTAAGCAATTCTAGCAGCATTTCTTTAACAGACTATTCTTTCCACGGTGAATGGCATTTATCAAAAACCAATTTATCATTTAAGAATGGATCTATTTCTGGAGTATCTATTTTATTACACTATTTAACATGTATATATTTAGGCCAATGTGTTACCGTCTTGTCTGAAACTTCCTAGTAAGTTTTTGTTTGTTGTTTGTTTGTTTGTTTGTTTGTTGTTTTGGAGATGGAGTCTCGCTCTGTCGCCAGACTGGAGTGCAGTGGCGTGATCTCGGCTCACTGCAACCTCCACCTCCTTGATTCAAGAGATTCACCTGCCTCAGCTTCCCGAGTAGCTGGGACTACAGGCACGCGCCACCACATCCAGCTAATTTTCGAATTTTTAGTAGAGATGGGGTTTCACCCATGTTGGCCAGGCT